ATTGGGTTCCTCCTCATTTTTCTTTTGTCTTCCAAGGCTGGACTCTAGAGTGATGGATTCAGGATTTGCTTTCAGGTATTTTGATAGCTGTTGGAGTGGTTAGAATCAGTGGTTAGAATCTAGAACCTCAAAGGGTTCTAGATGGGGGAGAAAACAAATTTATCCATCATTTCAGAACAATAGCTGGTTGTCTCCCTTAGCTACAGGTGGGCACTACAGTATTGGAGACCAAGATTTGAAGTCTTACATCTGAGCAGCGCTTTCTGATTAGGAACAAAATCATCAACGAGAAAGAATTTTCTAAATAACTTTTTATATGGACTTAAGCCTAATGTCTGAGAAGTGCCCCAATATGTAGCCCAGGCTTGCCTGAAACTTAGTACATAGCTCAGGTTGGCCTCCTCCTGCCTTAGCTTCTCAAGTAGAGGGATTGCAGGTGCAAGGCAGCATGCTCAGCTAACTGCTGTTTATAGTCCGCTCGGTCAATTGGTCAATGATGTCCTTCATAACACTCTTCTTTCAAATCTAGGATCCAACTAGATCGGGTATTGCACTTAGTTTTCATGTTCCTAGATCTATTAATATGGAATATTTTATAGTCTTTATATTTCATGATACTGAAGAATTTGACAACCTTTAATGAAATTGGAGCCTTTTATTTGGGGTTTTCTGATGTTTTCTGAGTGGATTGATGATTAAAGGTGCACATTCCAGCCAGGAATTCCTGTGGGCAAGGAGTCCTCAGCACCATGTCTGCACTGTCATTAAGGCTACCAGCCCCTCATTGACAAAGCTAATTTTGATTCTGTTGAAGGTTATATTAGGTGTCTGACTTGGTACTATATAGTCACTGTTTTTCTTTTTGCAATTAACATGGAGTCTGTTGGAAGTCACTGAAGACTATGTAAATAGCTTCCTTCTCATCAACATTTTCTACTCTTTGGCTAATTCTTGATCAAGCCAATTGTTATTACAATTGAAAAATAATGACTTTTTTTCTGCCATAGCAATTCCTCCAGGTATACCAGTTGGCTTGACATTGTGTTTTAAGTTGAACTCTGTCTTCTCCCCATGTGTTTGTTTATCTATTTATTATGGATCCTTGGATTCTAGGGCTTTGGTGGACTATAACTTACTGTAGTTATTCCCTTGGTATCTGTGGGGAAATAGGTTCAGGGATCCTTTAGATATCAAGTCATTTTTATAAAATGGTACGATATTTGTACATTCTCCCATATACTTGCGATCATCACTAGATTATTTATAAAATGCTGTATAAATGATTGTTATTCTAGGTTGTTTAGGGAATAATGATGAGGCAAAAAGATCTACACATGCTCAGTGCACATGCAGTTCAGATATGGGAAGGGATGAAGCACACCACAGACAGCTGAGACCAGGCAGATGTGCACGCCCAGTTTCCCAGGACAGCCTGTTGCTGGGTTTTGTTTGGAGCTTCTTCTTTTTTGCCATCTTCTCTATGCCAGTCTTTGCAACAAAACCTCCAGAGATGGGAGAGGACTGAATGGCCCTCTTTTGAAGGTCAGATTATAATTCACACTGACAGTTTCTTGTCTGAGTAAAATTTCACCTGGCATGAAATAATGATGCTTTTTTTTTTTTTTTTAGACAAGGTCTAATTTTGTATCCCAGGCTGGTCTGGAACTCATTTATGTAGCTCAGGCTGGCCTCCAACCTAGGTTCCTCCTGTCATAACCTCCCAAATTCTGGCCTTACATATCTGCACCACTATGCCTGGCCCAAATATTTTTGTTAAAGAAGTGATACCAGGGAGTGGAGTGATGGCTCAGTGGTTAAGAGCACTGGCTGCTCTTGCAGAGAACCCAGATTCAGCTCCCAGCACCTACATGTCAGCTAACAACTGTCCATAATTCCAGTTCTGGGGGCTCCAATGCCCTCTTCTGGCCTCCATGGGCATTACATACATGCAGTGCTTCTACATGCATGCAGGGAAAACACTCATATACATAAAATAAACAAAAATTAAAAAAAAGAAGTATGACCAACTCAGCTCACCAAAACTGCCATTCAGCAATGGAGCAGCCTGTGCAGGAGGAGCACCAATGGCATAAGGGTCACTGGTGGAAACCCAACACAACACAGTATTGGGAGTGGGACCAAATGAGAGGATCATGTCACCCCAGTCAAAGGCTTGAAAGGAACCATTTGGACAGTACAGTGAAGGTGGGTGGGGTCTTGGTGGAGTCCTGCAAAAGTGGTATGCAGGGTCACCACCACAGACCTAGAACTGCCTGTTCCATCAAAACTATGGGATTTTGGGCCGGGCGTGGTGGCACACACCTTTAATCCTAGCACTTGAGAGGCAGAGGCAGGCGGATCTCTGTGAGTTTGAGTTCAAGGCCAGCCTGTTCTGCATAGTGAGTTCAGGACAGCTGGGGCTACAGGGAGACACTGTCTCAAAAAGACCAAAACAAACAAACAAACAAACAAAAAACCCAAAACCAAAACCTATGGCATTTTCCAGGGCCGTTTGTAGGATGCGCACTTCATCTTAGACAAAAGTGAAGATTTGAGGAAGGCTCCTGGCATCTCCCAGGCTGGAATCTTACCAGGTTAGTGACTCTGATGGTGGGCTGCAGGCCAGCTTCCCACGTGAATACCGACTCATGGTACACATCCACCTGAAGCTTGCACTGAGTGAGGGGACTTTTGGATAGCAGATGCACTCAGGAAAATGGCAAACCAGTATCTCAGTTTTATACCAACAGCACACCTAGCAGAGAAATGGGCATTGCCCTTCTTATTGTCTATCTTTTCAACATTTTAGCATGAGAACATTTTAACTCAGAAGAGCTGAAGGCCTACTCCAGTGATGCAGTACTGGGTCACCTATCCACACCTTGTTCAACACTATCCATTTCCTTTTCCACAATATACATTTATGTACATGTGTATTGTATATGTATGTATGGATATTTATGTATCTATATATTTCTTTTGGCTAAACTTTTAAAAAACATGTTTCAAATACTGTGGTATATTTCACCTATGTTAGAGGCAGAAACTATACATGTTATTTGAGTGGAAAGAATTTACTATGCAGTGGTGCCCCTTTATCTGTGAAGGCTACATTCCAAGGTCCCTAGTTGAAACCCAAAACCGTGGATAGAACTGAACCCAGCACAGACTTTTTTTTTCCTACACATACATGCCTATGACAAAGTTAAATTTATAAATAAGGTCCAGTAAGAGATTAACAATGACTAATAATAAAATAGAACAATTATAGCAATATACTATAATAACATCTAGGTGACAAACAGGTATTTCTTGAGTGAACTTAGACAAATATTGATATTTTCAGACTGTTATTGCCTTCAGGTAACTGGAACTATATACTGTGAGTGGGGCTGGAGTTGGGGTGCAGCTGTAATGACTTGTTAGTTAGGCATAAGGCTATAACCCAGATATTTAGCAAAGTGAAAGAGAACCCTAAAAAATCAAGAAGGAAGTAATTTTTAGGAAAAATGGTTAGCATCCCTAGGGCTGGGGGAATAAGGGTAAGAGGCTGGAATGAGGAAAACTAGATACTCAGAAGAGAGGCTCCATGTTACTGTAGACGTGGCCCCTGGTGCTGGGGTGGGGGTGGGCTGACTGCTCAGCTGGCGATCATCCCAGAGCTTGGGGGCTGGGACTCATTGAGCAGCTGGATTCAGCTGTTGCTCCAGAAAAGCATTGCTGCTGCCGGGGAAAGTTGGTACTGCTGGTATAGAAAGGGAATGAGAGGTGGGCAGGAAGCAGCAAGTCTTCCTCTAGACTGGAATGTCCCTCCAGCATCCTCTTTAGCAGAATCTGCAGTATGGCTTACAGGTCCAGGTCTGATGGTGCAGGGTCAAGCATGTCTATCCTTGGTGTCCCTGAGGTATGGTGCTAGCTCTTTCTGCAGACAGCAGTGTCTGCAAATGCTCCAGTCGCTTTTGTATGAAATGATGTAGCATTTATAGGTAACCCACACACCCATGTGCTTTAAATCTGCTCTAGATTACTTCTTACACCAAACAGAGTATAAATATAATATGATATAGATAGTTGCTGTATTGTATTGTTTAGGGAATAATAACCAGGAAAAAAACCCTGTACATGTTCAGTGTAGATGCATGGTCAGTCTTCACCTGGCTGAATTCACAGATAGAGAACCTTTGGAAGCTAGGGGCCAACTTTATAGGAGGGTGAGCTTAGAGCACAAAGGCTGTATTTTAGTAAGTGACACAGACCATACATACCTCATCACATGCTTCCTAAATGAAGAATATTGTCTTATATGTACACAACATATCATGGCTAAGAAATGGGTACTTTCTTTTTTTTATAATTAAAAGTTTTTTTAATTTATTATTTTTATTTTATGTGTATGTGTATATTGTCTGCATGTAGGTAACTGTACCCGTATTGTGCAATGCCTGCGGAGGTTAGAAGAGGCTGTTGGATCCCCTGGGACTGGAGTTACGGACAGTTGTTAGCTGCCATGTAGGTGCTGGGATTCAAACCTGGGTCTTCCGTAAGAACAACCAGTGTTCTTAACTGCTGAGCCATCTCTCCACCCCAGAAATACTTTCTAATGTTATCTAAGAATCTGTTGTTATAGGCAGCTTCAGTTGTCAACTTGACACCTGCGAAGAGGGAACCTCACCTGAGAAATTTCTTCCATCACACTGGCCTGTATACATGTCTGTGGGGCATTTTCTTGATCGCTAATTGATGTAGGAAGGCCCAGCCCACTGTGGGTGGTGCCATCCCCAGGCATGTGGCCTGGGCTATATAAGAAAGTTGAGCAAGCCAGCAGAAGCAAACTAGTAAGCTTCCTTCTGCTGTGGTCTCTGATTTGAGGTCCCCTCTTGGCTTCCCTCAATGATGGACTGTGGGCTGTAAGCCAAATAAACTCTTTCCTTCTCTACATTGCTTTTAGTTAGTGTTTTATCCCAGCAACAGAGGAGAAAACGGGAACATCCGTGTTGTAATTTCCCTAATTATTTCCAAATGTTTTTTTGTGATATACTTCTTCAGTCTGTCTTATTCTAGAATGGTCTACTGCTCCCCCTTCTAATGGCTTATGATAAGGGATTAGGCCAGTCACGTTGTACAAATTCCCTCATTCTGAGCTTCATGGTGCTCTTTCCTGTTTTTTTTTTTTTAAATCCCTGTTAGTTACTATAACCTAGAAGTTTCATTTAGATTGACTGTCAAGACTACAGATGAACCTCAGTAACCCACTGAAAGCATCTTAAGTTGAACACACATTGGATATGTCTAGTATACTCAAAGCCTCCGCCGAGCTCCACAGCACACTCTGGGGTCTTGGCTGTCTGCCCTTGTGATGGCACAGCTGATTAGGAGCTGTGGCTTGTGGCTATTGGCCAGTATCTGGAGGTAGTATCATGCTGTGTGCCCCTAGCCTGAGAAAAGGCCAAAGTTCAAAATTCAAAGCACATTTGTACTCAATGTCTATTCTTTTCACAGTGCTAGAAAGTTAAAACTTTGTCAGTTGAGCCACTGTGAGTTGGGCATTATGCCTCAGAGAGGATGTTGTGTTGTTTACTGAGATGTACTTTTTAACATTTGAGTTGCAGCACATATGATCTTTGAAGATCCTGACTTTAGACACACTTTGGTACCTAGGAACAAAAGCCAGCTGGTTCTCATGGAAAGGGGGAGGAACACCTGTCTCCATCTTAACAGGTGCTACTGGTTAGTTCTGATAGAATTTGTCTTCGTCCCTATGTACTGTGCCCTCCTCTATCATCTCCAGGTACCATCAGAGGATGTTTGGACTTACTGCTGGAGCCTCTGCTCATGGAGGCTGTGTTTTATCCCTGGAACATCCTGTTTTGTAATCCTTTGGGTCTCCCACCTGCCCTGTAGCATTCAGAGTGGACATTGTTGCTGTCTTGTACTTGATGGACTTGGCCCTCCCACTGCCTCTGACCTCTGCTGGAGTGTGGTGTAAACTGCTTGTGAAAAGGCACCTTTCTCTTTTCTGTGTGTCTGTGTATGTGCACATGTGTGCACAGGTGTGTGGGGGCCTGAGGTCAACCTTGGGTGTCTTTCCTTGTACCCTCTCCATTTGTTTTTTGAGACAGTCTCTCTCACTGGCCTGAAATTCACCAAGTAGGCCAATGAGCCCTAGGGATCTGCCTCTCTCTGCCTCCCCAGTGCTGGAACTGCAAGTGTCCACCATGGCTGCACCTTTTATGTGGGTTCTGGGACTCAGGTCTTCATGCTTGGGTAGCAAGCACTTTTACCAGCTGAGCCCCAAGCCTTCTCATCTGCAACCCATTCTCTTGGTGAGTTCTCTGAGTCGTCTGACAAACTTTGCACTGTGCCGTGTTCTTACCTCTGTGATAATGCCTCTCTCACCTCAGACTCGGGTCTGTCTCAGTGTCACTGAGGTGCTCTTTGCTGTCCAGTCCTCTGCTTTGCTGACTGCCATCTTGAATCCTGGCCATTCTGACCTGCCCTTGGCATCTTTAGGCACAGCCTTCACCTGCTGCTTGGCTGGGCCTTAGTTCTCATGGAATCTCATTTCACTGCGCAGGAGCAGGAAGCTCATCTCTGAATCACAGAATAGAAGAGTTATGTTTGACTCCTTACTTAGATGTCTACGGGATCCCAGACTGGCATTGAGGAAGACCAGTTCTGAGAAAATCAGTGGCTCAAGCTCAAAATGTAATGTCAACTGACCTTCAGTTTCTGGGTTGTATTAATAAAAATTAAGGTGAGCTTCAGAGCATGTATAAAAAAAATAACTAGAGTCTTTGCAGCTTCTATTAAGAGGAAAGTCCATTTCCTTACACTTGGGACTGAGCTGGTGTTACATCTTGCCTTAACCAACAAGACAGTAAAAGTCATGTAGACAGAGGCCAGAAAGTGCTTGCCTCCTGGGCCTTGCCTCTTCCAGCTGACGGGAGAGCCCTCTTGAGAAGAAGCCTGGGCTAGTCAGCTGGATCGGGCATGTGAAGAGAATTGGGTAACCCTGCCCACCAATGCATCAGCCTCTGACCGCACTGTGGAACACACTGAGGTAAGATCAACGGAGGAGCTATTCCTTTTCCTCAGCCCAGCTCACAGCAACACCTGGAATCCTAGCTGGTCAGTGATCATCTTGTCACACAGTAAAGGCTGACTGGTACATAGCTGTCCGATAGGGGAAGCTCCTACTCAGCTCTGGCTTGCTGTGCTGGTGTATGGGCTCAGGGTCACTCTATCTTCCAGTTGTTCACAAGAAGGGAAATAAATTCAAGATAATTCTTATGTGAAATAGTCTAATTTTTAAATGATGGCACTAATTAAAAACGTTAAAAGCGTTCTGAAGGCCCAGTGAAAACTCTGGAGACCGGATTTCCCTTCTTTAGCCATGCTTATTCTTGCTAATGGCTCCAGTGTCCGCTCCCATCATTCTCTTAACCCAGGGAGAATGGGACCTGAGGGAGGTGAGCAGCAGCAACTCCGAGACCCTGACAGGAAGAGGGAGCGAGGCTCGGCCTTGGCCTGTCTGGGATGGACACTTGTGGCAGGGAAGGTGCCATACGAACATCTCATTGGACTGCTTCCTTCC